ATTCGATAACTTTCTTGGAAAAGATTGTGGACAGACTATCATTACTCATAGCTAGTGTATATCAAACTAAACATGAACGTTTGATTATTCATAATGTTCGTTATAAAATGTTAAAAAAATTCTCAGTAAAACCATTTGATTCATATTTACAGGTTTTTACCAATGATTTCAATCTGTTCATAGAACTTGAATTGAAAGTATCAACAATTAATATTCATTAAATAATAATTAATAAGTAAGGTAACAAAGTTTTGCTTCTTGCTACAAAAATACTATAAAATTGGGACACAATATGCACAACTATTTGTATCTAAAATTCAACCTACTAATCCAAACTTTTATTAGAAAAGTTTATTTATAAGGAAAGTTTTTGACAAGAAAACAAATTATGTGCACTATATCAGACATGCTTACACACTACTTGACAAGTAGTTGACAAGTATTGTTGCAGGTTTACCAATCCAAATGAAACGACATTTTTTAATTGCTTATAAACTGTCACAAAAATCTCACATTCTACAAGTTTTTTTTTATAATAAAATATTTGTAAAATTAATTTACCTTCCACTAACGAACGTTTCGCAAACACACGTAAGACGCAAAAGACAAACGGAATAGATAAACTTCAAATGTAATTGACAGTCAGGAATGAATATCAAAGATGCAAATGCAACGCACAGTTAATTAATAATTTCAACAAGTCTCTCCTGCTCAGTCAGCAAACAAATTAGAACTTCCTTCAGACTTGATTAATTGCCAGACGGATGTAAAGTTAAAAAAATATATTTATATCAGTTAGCGAATAAATATTTAACTTTACTATTTTTGCATTCGCATCTGCGTGCATTTGAACAGTCATTTTTTTAACCTTTTTATATCAATATTTATGTACATCAAACATGAAAAAGATAATGAAGTGCATGATTCAAATATTCACTAGAATTGCTCGAGTGGAATACTTTTGTCCATATCTATTGTTGCATGAATTTCCAAAACAAAGCAATAGAAATGATTTTTTTTTAATATTTTAACAATTCATATCTAATTAATTGCTGTAGCATGTGGACTTTACATAAAGAACTCCCGAGGAAAGAAATTATAACACCTTGACCCTAGACGAAATCAATCATAAATTAACCAGAGGATAAATAAAACGGTAAACGACATGAGAATAAACTTGAGAGAATTGAAGGGCGTTAATTAAAAAAAATGTAGTAAATTAAAGAATAAATCTTGTTTGAAACGATTTCACGAAATCACCAGAAACAAAATGCGCTACTTTTTTTATTGGTGTATCTATTTTTATATCCTTGCTGCAAGCTGTAGTCTTGTGCTAGTATCTCGTAAAAACACTGCTCTTTTATATACTTTTTTTATAATATAAAAAAATGCGGAGCGAGAGAAATGCTACCAATTTTACTTTATTAGTTAATAAATTAATTGGAACTTTATATATGCGTATTACATAACGTTAGACATAATAAATAGTTGTTTATAATAAATAGTATAGATGGAGCTATCATTTATATCAGTTCAACCAACTTGAAATAGTTGGTGCAATTAATGATTTTTCATAATAATCAAGAGATGGCAGGAAAAACATTAACAAATCCATAACAATTCTAACTATTTCATTAATGTTAATGAGTTACTATGTAAACATAGAATAAAAATAAGATGTTTTTTTTAAATAAATTAATACATAATCAATTTTTTTTTAAACTTATTGAAATTCTAATAAAAAAAACGTAAGAACGAAATTGATTTTCTTTACACGTATTTCTTCGCGTTTCTTATAAGAGTGCCACAAAAACTAATGATTTGATTCAACTATTTTATAATACTCTTTTGTAAATAATAAATAAGCTTATACATTCTATTTATTTTTTTGCTGTGTCTCTCTATATAAATATCTATTGATTTCCCACTCCCTTTTTTATGCGAGGGTAGAAAAATCAGTTACGTGTTGTAAGAGAGGGAAAAAAACCCACCCATTTTGTATTTGTTAAATTCTTGGCGCGATGGCATTCACTTGTTAAGTCGTTAGGCTCCATGGCAACGTGTTACGTATATTGAATTGAGCAATTCGATGCGGTCTCGAGTATTTACTATTCCATCCCAGATGCTGGGGGGCTTGTTCGAAGCAAAGTGGGTCGGATGGTACGAGACAGAACATTGCGGTGCAGAAACTCCGCACACATTATTGTTATTTGAATGCGGATGATAATCGCGATAACCGTTCGACGATGTTTCGATGGAATTACGTAATGCAATGCGCGAAGGTTTAAGGAAAATATGAAGAAGCTGTGTAGCGAAAGCAGCAGCAGCAGCACCTGAGTAGACGGTAAATGTAAAATATCAAACTAACTAGTGTAAGTTCGGGGAGAGTTGAAAAATTATGCATAAACTTTTAGAATCCATTAGAAGTTTCTAATTATTCCGAAGAGGTTGTAAACTCTTCGAGGACAAGAATGTCACGTTAATGACGTGCTTTGGGGATGACTGGGATTTTGACATCCACATTATTGGTATATATTTGCCTATAACATCAACATAACTTTATTTATTATTATTATTTTTAATTGTCAATAAAATTCAATACTTCTTAATCCTCATGTTTACAACTAAATTATATTTGAATTGTAGAATAATGAACTAATAAAATATTACTATTATTGAATTATTAAAATAATTCCCAATTCACCATTTGAATTTATATTCTTAAGTTTTTAAATTGTAAAAACATAACTTGTTTTCTACTACGAATTCTATGGATCGCGTTAAATTTTTAATTAGTCGTGAAATGTCAAGCTGTCACCTTGTGTCAAAGCAAGGAACTGGCGATATACTACAAACAAATATAATTATGTTGAGCACTCTTTAGTAAAGATAAATTTAGGAAAATTTGGATTGGATTTTCCAACCTTCATATGAAAGTCGATAACTGGAATGATTAATATAACAATATTTGTTTCTTTTGTTTTTTACATTGGTAGGTGGATTAATGGATGAAAAAATGGGCATGTTAATGGATGTTCGTTACGTATGAGCATTCGGTCCGACACAAAACATGTTGGCCGTGGACGGATAATTGGAAGTAGGAACTGGGGCAATAGGAAATATTTGTCGTCCGGAAAATTGGTGATATCACAATAAGAAAAATCCGCCGTGAATAATAGCCTAATTTCGAGGGGAAAACTAAATTTAGCTCGCCGCCGCTCGGGGCTGTCTATTTCTGTAATTTTCCTGCGCGTTTTCACTTCCTGCTCAAAATTGAGCCTCACTTCCGTCCGAATCTAAATATTTGGGGCCGCCGGACAATTTCCACGCGCAAAACTTTGCAGAAAAATAACACACGATCCGGCGCATAACAACAACAAGACGAATACTTTGTAAATCATACATTTATAAAGTTTATATACAAACAAACAAATTTCTATTCTTTATAATTAATAAATATTGTAATCCACTATAGTTTGTTTTCTTTATGTAATATTAATGATTATATCAATCAATCAATTAATTAACTGTGTGTTTTAAATTTCATACTATTAAACTAAATAAATAAACTCAATTTATAGTTCATTAAAACGTTCTATTAAAAAAAGCAGTATTTAAGACGACAGAAGTCCGTAATTAAGGTCAGCGAGGACTTTTAAACATTAACGTATATTTCACTTGGGTGGTTCCCATTTTATTTTTGCGTAATCTACTTCTAAAATCCAAGGGCTTTGTTCGTGAGAAATATATACCAGTTTTTTTTTTATGTCACAAAGAAAACGGTAAAAAAAATCTAGTAGTAAAATCTTATTCAAGGAAGAAACTACATCGCAATATTCGCATCAAAATACAGCGGCGTTTCGATTAATTTAGACCGGATGAAACCTAAAAAAAGCAAACACTTGGATTGCAAATTTTAATTGTGTAGTTTGAAACGTCTTCGGGCGACTCGCAAGAAAACAGAACTTTCCATCATTTTAATATCGCGCGGAAAACTTTCTCATTTGCGGAACGAAATTGGCGGGAAGCGAGAAATAAAAGATTCGAACGGTGGGGGGCGGAAAAAGGAGGAGTTGAAAAAAAAGGAGAGGCAAAACAGAAGGGAAGTAATGGCAGGATAATTTCGCGGAAACTTGAGTTTGGTGACAGTTAGTGGAAATGGGAATTTGTTAAATATCGTTTCCTAAGACCTTCGAAGTAAATGTAGTGTTAAGTAATAATATGAACTATATATTTATGCTTATTTTCTTAATCATAACAAAGCAATTATTAAGATATTTATACTTTTCGCTGTATATAATGAATATTGTGATATAGTAAATACTGAAACGTAGAAGCAGGATATTATAAAGTTTAGAAGAAATGCTTATAGTAGATATATTCTTATTGTCTTTTTACTAAAAAAATATAAGTAATTTTTTAGAAAATCGTTCTTAATTCGTAATTTAGTATTTGCTTGTTATTAATATATTCCTTAATATTAACCCAATATTGAAATTTGAATAGCATTAGTCTGATTGAAGGAAATATTTAATAAATCACTATTTATTACTAAATCATTAATAAAATTTGTAATTGTATAGTATTTTGTTAAGATCACAAAATGTATATATTTAACATATTAAATGTATATGTGGAGTATATGTGTTGATATATGATTGAATAACACAGATTAAGTAGCGAAAGTAAGTCAATAATTTCGAGGAATATGCAACGCTGGTAACTGAGTGTTAGAAATGATTTATTTGGACGTAAAGTATAAATATTTAACGCATCTATTATAATGATGTGTATTTATTGCATTTTAATGGAATAAGTCTATTTCGGATTTATTCGTTATATTTGATTAGATGTATATCATGAAAGAAAAATATGTTTATGGTCGTACTAGCTCAATATATTGATCAAAATGTAATCCACCGAAGGTGCGTGGATGGAAGACATTAGAAACTAAGTTATGAGTTTTCCAAGGTAGGTAAGGAGAGCGGTAAATCTCTTACCTTGATAATAACGCTCCGGCTGATGTTGCTGTTGTAGTCCGGGGAAAACGGAGTCTCGCAAGCCTCGCAAATCACCGAATCGGGATTATTGAGGAGGGTGCACCGACGGCATGTCCAGGTGGTGGTCGGAACGCTCGGTTTCACCTTCCACAGACCATTACCGACCCGCGGATGATGGTTGATCCCGCTGGCCGTCGTCCTCACATTGCTTCCGGGAACGTCCAGCATGCCGCCGCCTTTCTGCGCCACCGAACAGCTATAACTCTTGATGTTCGACAGCGAGATGAACTTCTCCTTGCCAGTGGTTTGGCAGCTGCAGATCCTCCTCTGCTCCTCGCAGTTGAAGTACTTGTTGAAGAGTGGCTGCTCGACTGGGGTCAGGGTCAGGGATGCGCACAGCTTGCACACCGTGTTCATGGTCCTCGTGAGGCCGTCACATGCGGCGCATCTTATCGACGCCGTCCTCAGAACGATCTCGCACCTGGGGCAGTTCCTGAGCGCGTTCAACGTCGGTTCACTACACGATCTTCGCAACGCCGACTTTCTGCACCTGGAGATGAAACCTTCCGAAGGATCCAGCAGTAAAAGTGAACTGTATATCGAGTTCTTTATCAGAATCGAACAGGAATGCACACTGTAACACAAAAATAAATAAAATGAGGGACATGGAAATAGAACGCGTTTCGTCTGCCAAAGGAACATTGTACACGAGGCCCACATATACAGTGTGATCACAACAAACGTCATCTTGTCTATTCACATATATACAATAAACTCACTAAATACACGAATTTACTTTAAAAGAAACGAAATAAATACATGCTTTAAATCGTGTAATTCCAGGTGCGAATAATTGCTTATTTTCTATTACATTTTTTCACAGCTCAATTAAAGCTACAAGTTACTTAAAACCATTACCGTTCATTAATTAATATTAATTATGTACATGTTATTGTAGTTTGACTTAAAATAAACATACTTAAATTTGTTTCTATTTATATTGGGACAAATCGTAATACAAGTGAGAGAAACTGTAGCTGAGAGAAAAAAAAACTTGGCTGTTATCGACTATAATGAGTTACACTTTTTGAGAGATAAAAATAAACTATTTTTCATTGATATATGTACAGTAAAACGCCATTTATCCGTGGTAATTAGAGAAAGGCAATTAGAGACAATTGAAAAACACTGTTAATCATATTTGTTTGCTATATAATATCTATGTATTTGTATATAAAAACACATTTTTTAATCATTTTAATAGATAATCTAAAATTGTTGATTGTTTATATAATAAGTAAACAGTAAGTCGGCCGCGTCAATGGTAAATTGAAACCCGGATAATCGGAGTTTTACTGTATATTCAAAAATTGTATACACATCTTTTCACTTAATAGTTTCATTTAATCGGTGTTATTGTCATATGTGGCTGAATTATATGTACTCTTTAACTAATTGTTATTTGCATTACCTCCTTAAAAGTCTTCATTAGTCTGCACGGTGGTTCGTAACAGTCATAGCTAGTCTTATATAAGTATTAAGTATAGTCAAAGATTAAAATCGTTACAAATTAAATATAATATATTTTCATAAATCTTTTCGTTATTGAAACTCGACAACAATTGATATTTTACCAAATCGGGAGTTCTCCAAGAATCTATTCTCGGCTTTATCATCACGAAAAACTTTAATTATTTACATAATAGTTCGTAAATCAATAATATTATTAAAAGTTTTTATATTTAATCTTTTCGGCTGATTCTATTTACAAAATAAAAAAAAAAGGTTTTCATTAAATTGATAATATCGGTATGAACTGGAACGATCCTAAAAATAGAAGCACTAAACTTCTCTAATATTAAATATTGCCTTGGCGAATTGGAAGATATAAATAAACGTACGTTATTTGATCGAATTAATAACAATACAATTTCGAGGATGTGGGTCGATTGTTCGTATTCCTTGCATTATGAAAGATCCGCACTTCGTTTTTCCACTTACTCAATCTCCTTCGGGCCTCGCTGCGAATTTCGCTCGCATCCCCCAGCAAAGTTAGACACACTTCCGGTAATAAACAACCAACAAAGAAGAAGGAGAGGAAGAGAGAAAAACAAAAACGAAATCGTGTTAACCTACATTTTTGAGGCTTCCGAAAAGCCACGGAAAACGAAATATTCGCGCGCTCTTCCAGACTTTATGATCCTGGAAGCATTCTTATACGAAAACTATTATTGTATATATATAAAAAAAAGGAAGGAGCTGCTGAAAGAGCAATAAGAAGAGGAAGAAGAAAAAACTGACAATACCAACAGCATATGGTTCTTTGTGAAGAAGTGGTGAGTGTGTGCACCCGGTATATAGTGTGGTTTAATGGCAAATAATGGATGTTTGTAGCGAGAGTCGCTGTTGCCAGACAATGGGAATCAGGACACGCGAACGTTTTTAAGGTTTATTAAAATTTAAAACGCGCTCTCCCTTGCAAAATAAGTGGAGGAGTTTGAGGGACGGATGGACGGACTCGTTTCCGTTCACCAATTCGAAGCGGACTAAACAAACGGATCCACGACGACGGGAACTACAAGTGTAACTATCGATTGAGGCCTCACGAAGACTAACTTAACGAAGGACGATTCCGTTATTACGAATATGATTGATGTTGCCTCTAATTCCATTACAGTATTTATAGGTCTTCGAGTCTGACGCACTAAATACACTTAAAAACAAAACAAAAATCTAGTGTCATTAGGTGATTACTTCATACGCTAATCTAAACCGCATTAGGAACAACTTCAAATATTTGTGGACAAAAATAAAGGAACGAAGCAGATTCGTCCACAACGATACAGCGCGAATCGATTGTTATAAAACGACTGAAGCTAATGGTGTGTGAAGATCGTCAAAGACAACAACAACAAAAAAAAGTGGAGGAAGTCTAAACCGTAAATTCAACACTTTCGCTTCCCATAAAACTGTTTCCCGTTGGATGGGAAGTCCCTAACTTTAGTAAACACTGTCGTTCCAATTCTTTCTTTTATTGCATCTGATTATCGCAGTTCTTCCCTATCACATATATTCACACGCATTTCATATTTAAATATGCTCACTGTATGTTTGAAGTCCGATTGTCCTGCCGCTTTATTACGTCCAATATTTCACCCTTCATCCGAAGTCTAGACACTTTTAATTGCCGGCAACAAACAAAAACGCTTTGTTCCACTATTTCGAGACTTTTGTTCCCGTCGATGATTTCTCCATTGTCCGTTCTACCTAAAATATTTTCCTTTTGTTACGAAATCCATCCGCAATTCAGTAAAGCAAATATCGATGAAAAATGTTTTTTTCATCCTTCATTTTAACTCGGTTATTATACATATTCCGCGCCACATTTGGTATCAAACTCTTTATGTTTTATTAATGCTCTTGCTTAACATACAGTTTAACCTGCGATAAATTTAGAACTTTCGTACGAAGACACTATAAACTTTCCTCGAGCTCCTGTAATGTTTTGACAAATTGTTTCATTAATCCTGATTTAATAAGGGCTGCAGCTAAAACATAAGTTTTTTTTCAACAAAACGCTTTTCTTTATACTGAAAATGATATAGAAAGAACAACGATAACGTTAATATATAAATTAATCAATGAAACGAGTAAAAATCATTTAAAAACAATATTCAATGCGTTTCAATTAATTTTAATGAATAAATAAATGACAGCTGTCAACCATTAGATTAGTGTCCCATAGGTTGAGACACGCTGGTTTAGATAGAATAAATATATTTGTTAAAAATATCTAAAACAAAAATTTTTTTATTTTGACAAACACACATTGTGTAATTCAAAGTTCAAAATACTAGTATTATGCGGATATTACTCGAATTGGTATATTTAGACCACAATACCATATAAATATGAGCTACTCAACATATTTTTTTAATGAATCGAAATTTTACTATTTATAAACAATTTTTCCACGTATTTTTAAACGTTGACAATCAAAAAATTATAATTATACTTGATAACAATTTACTACGATTTATTAATAAAAACAACGCGATTATCTAATTCTATAATTATTACTCAATTATTGCAATATTTTTTTTTATCAATTTTATGAATTTTTTGAAGAAAACATAAAACTCGAACGTTTCTCGGATTCGTTATCTTTGTATTTTAATTTTTCTAATCAGAATTTTCAATTTATTTTTTATCTATTAACCACTTCATTGTTTCGACGAAAATCAGTGTTTTAAGGATAATACACATCACTTTTATCGCAAAGTTTATCATTTCTGGATAGAGAGTGTGAAAGAGAGAGAGAGAGGAAATATTAATTGTTGGATAACGAACAAAAGGCTATCGACCGAAATACAATGAATTTAATTTTAGTAAAGAATTGTACTATCATTTTGATTCTTTTAAATATAGTTATAATAGATTGTTAAAGAAAAATTAGTAAATTATCTCACGTTTGATAATTGTGGAAAAACGCCAATTCATTACTTAATGATAGTGCGGGATTTTCCTTTAAAAATTATTAAAACATTAATATTTACTGATGTTTAAAGAGAAATATTTCAGCTTGAAAAGATTTATTTATTGAATTGTCAAATAGTTGAGAAGTAAATTTATATAAACTTCAATAGATTCTTTTACGAAATCTGCATAGTCTTATTTTTCATGTAATTTTTTGATAGTTTCCATAGGACAAATTTGATGACTTTCATAGGACTGTTTGAAACCGGACTAATCGAGATACTAAACTGTAAAGAGAAACAAAAGGATCATTTATGTATACAAAAAAATAATTGTGTACTTATTTTGTAAAATTTAGTTTATTTTCATATCTTAAAAACGTACTATAGTGGAATGTCCGCACTATGTGAAGCACGAGTCTTCCAAGTTTTCATTTTCAAAATTTGACCTAATTTTATTAATTAATTATACTTAAATTGATTTCTTTAAAGTAATTATTTCTTTAATTTATTACTCGATTTTTACAAATACCTACAAATAGAATATACAATATTAGATAGCATCTCTTAAAGATAACTTAATAAGTATTACAAAATGTATTAAATATCTCGAAATTGATAATCATATAAATTTTTGATTGATTTAATCTGTATTAATTTTTTTTTTAATGTACGGATTTTTACTCGTAAATTGAAACAATTTTCCACATATAAATTAATGTATTATACAACAATGCCTTCTATATTGGAGTAATTTTTCTTACAATTTATTTTGCTTAACAATGCTCGTTATGCGAGGTTCCACTGTATTTTGAGAAAGTTGAAAATACGATATATGTTACGCTACACCACCTGGCCTACTCAACAAACCACTTCAGGGCAAAACAGTTGCTAAAATGATGATTAATTGGATTATTTTTAATTCTTATTAACAGGATTTATTCGTGTGCTTAGGAATGTTACCACATACAGTCGAGAGACGTTTGTAATATGTTTGTTTATGGTTCGTCCAGGAATTTGTGTATTTGTACAATGAATGAATCAGTCTGGACTCTGGATTCCTGCAAGTAACAGTCAGAATACTTAAAACTGTTTTTTTGGGGAATTTACAAAATCCGCTTCATAAACAAGAATGATTGCATTTTAAATCAACAAAGAC